TCCAGGCTCTGCCTCCCGCGTGGCAGCTGCAGCGCCCAGAAGCTTCGATGCCACCCCCACAGCTGGGGCACCTGGCGTCGCTGAGGCGTCACTGAGCGTGGACGTACCAGAGAGAGGTCGTCGATGACGTGCTGCTGCTCCAGCACCTGCAGCCGGAGGAACTCGATCTCCTGCTCGTCCCGCGTCAGGCTCAGGTCGTTCAGGGAAGTGTGCCGCTTCAGAGACGCCTGCGCGGACAGCTTCTCTTTCTGGGCCAGAGGGAGAGAGCCCCGCAGGGCTGCTCAGCCACGTCTGTGAGGACCCACTGTGCGCATCCGGGCGCGGAGTGTGGGCTCTGGGATACGGGATGGGAGGGTGGAGGGAGGGGTGATGGCCACCTTGTCCCCAAGCTGGAGGAGTGCACGGCTGCACGACAACCAGGGCGCAGGCAAGGCTGCTGGCGCCCGGCGCCAGGAGAGGGCTGGGCAGGCCCTGGGCGGAGCGGACGTCCACACCCAGCCTTGCACGCTGGACAAGGAAGCCGGGAGAGAGCATGCCTCTCACCGGAATTACACGCTTGCACCTGGACCTGTGAGGGCCCAGGGAGAAGGGCACTCGCCTCTGAGCCTCAGTTTACTCAGCTGTAAAATGGGGGTGACCGAACTACTTTGGACGACGAGCCTCAGAGCGTTCTCTGAACCACCTACGCCAAGACACCGCCCCGACCACAAATACTGCAAATGAACGCCCTCCCGCGGAGCACTCAGAGCGAAAGTCGGAACCGCTCTCACACGCTGAGCTTCCCCAATGGGCCGGGTTTCAGCGAGGCCCTTCTGTGCTATCACTCCGTCCTCCCCATAACCCGCCACATGGACATTTTCATTCCCATTCTGTGGATGAAGAAACTGAGGAGCAGAGAGGAGAGATGTGTCTCCGGGCACGGGGGTGGGTCCGCATGGCACCGTGACTTTCCGACGAGGGACAGCAGGAGGGTGGGCCGGGCTGGGACTGCCCCGGGGCCCCGGGGCCACGGCACCTACGGCTCGGGCTGGCCCCAGCGGCCGACGTACCATTTCCACGTTCTCCCTCGTGAGCTTCTTGAGCTTCTCCTCCATCCGCTGGATGCTCTGCAGCAGGTCCTCGTTCTTCTTGCTCATCCTCTTGTTCTTCTCCACCAGCGGCTTCAGCTGCACCTCGGTCTCGCGGGAGCGTTTCAGCTGCGGGCAGAGGGCAGAGCGGGCGGCCGTGAGCCATGAACGACTGCCTTCACACCTTCCTCGGGACTGAGCACCAGACGGGGCCCGCAGACACGGGGCTTCCGACCCGGACCCACCGAGCCTCAGAGGGCCTGGGTGACGGGAGAGGAGCCCAGCGGGGGCCCCCGGACCTGCCCCAGGGCACCTGCCAGCCAGCGGCCTGTGCTGTGTCCACTAGGCTACACCTCTAGAGGTCATGGGTCACGTGCATAAAGGTCAATCCCGCTACCTAGTTCCTCCCCAAGTTCAGACCTCAGAAGGCTCCACCCTCTACAAACAACAGACAAGCCCTGGGCACCTGCGTGGCAGGCTCAGCGCTGGGGGTGGAGCGCTCTGCAGTCAGGTCTGCCTTCTAGAACAATCGGCCTCTCCAACGGCTGTATGGAGGCCAGTCTAGTGAGGCAGGGACATGAGAAAGGACAGCGTTGGGGGGATGGGCAGCAGGGACTGGGGAGCCTGCATGATTAGGGGTGCCCACCCCTTTTCCTCTGAGCAGCGTCCTGGCTGACACATGTTCCAGCTGCAGGACACTGGCCCAATTACTCGGCCTCAGTTTCCTCATCTATAAAATGGGAATTCGCCATGTGTCCAACCAGTAGGAGGCCCTTCCGGGCCTTCTCTCTCATTTGACCCTCGCTACACACCTAGGAGGGGGCCCCATCCCTGTCCTCACGCCACAGATAGAGATCCTGACCCCAAAGAGGTGGGCAATGTGCTCAGGTCACACAGAAAGTGCTAGAACCAAGAACTGAACACAGGGACTGACTTAGACGCCTGCTTTTAGTCACCAGGCTGCGAAAGTTAAGACACAACCTTCCCCTGGTGCCCTTCAAAATACAAAATGTAGCTTTGACCTGCACATTCCATTTCCAGAGGCCTACCCCACAGAATGAAGGCCCCAGTGAGTAAAGAGGAAATGTGTCATCTGTGTGGCATTGTTTATAACAGCAAAGAAGCCTGAACAGCCGGAACCTCCTGGCAGGAGTGGCTGAGTAAGCCATGCTGTGTCCACACAGTGGAGTACAATGCAGCCATCAAAAAGATGAAGGCAGCCCCGCTGGTGTGGCTCAGTGGTTGGGCATCAACCTATGAACCAGGAGGTCACGGATTGATTCCCAGTCAGGGCACATGCCCGGGTTGCAGGCTCGATCCCCGGTGGGGGCGGGGGGAGGGAGGGGGGCAGAAGGCAACCGATCAATGGTTCTCTCTCATCACTGATGTTTCTGTCTCTCTCTCTGACACTTAACACTTTTCAACTCCCATGGTTTTCAAATATTATGGATACACTTACTTTCGTAATAAAATGTAGAATAAACAGAAGTGTTATGAGGTGTTTTTCAGGCAGTTTGTGTGTTGACTACGACGCTACAGAAAAGTCAGGTTAGCTCTTTATCCAACAAATGTAAAGGTAGTTAAGAAATTGCTATTTTTACTAGAGATTTATTCCTTAATCAGAAATCCATGTTCATTATATTTAAATTAGAAATAGGCCACCTTTGATGCAAAAGAAGTAAATAGGTAAGCAAAAGATAAAAGCTATCCGTAATCACACCCCTAAAGCAATTCCCAGTGCCCGGGATGACAATATATTTTTGTTCTAGAAACTGTTCTTCGTCCTATGAACCAATGTTCCTGGCAATTAAACATGATCAGTATGGTCATTCTTTGTTTGTTTGTTTGTTTGTTAATCCTCACCCAAGAATATTTTTCCATGTGTTTTTAGACAGAGTGGAAGGGACGGGGAGAGACAGAGAGAGAGAAACATTGATCTAAGAGAGAGACATCAATTGGTGTGTCTCCCAAACACGCCCCAACTGGGCAGGAGATCAGGCCTGCAACCAAGGCACGTGCCCTTGACTGGAATCGAACCCAGGACCCTTCAGTCCAAGGGCTGATGCTCCAACCACTGAGCCTAACAGGCCAGGACGGCACCGTCATTCCTAATGGCTGCGTACAATCATTGTGTGAGTGTTCCCTGGTCACTCTGACCCACACTGGAGTGCCGAACAGTGGGGCGTTTTGTTTCGCTTCTGGTTGCTGTTACAAACACACCCGTGAGCATCCTCTCCACACCTCTCTCGGAACTTCTCCGACAGTCGCCAAGGATAAACCCCTGCAGAGGCAAAGGGCAGGGACGGGCTTCCGCGGTGAGTGTGTGCCGGATGTTCAACCAGAGAGAAATGAGGAAGTGCAGAGAGCCAAAGGCTCCGTGTTAGCTTCCTGCCAAGCCAGCTTCGCGGCCCAGCGCGGCTTCCCGGTACCCTCCTCCGTCTCTGGGGCCGGTTACCAGTTCATTCCTCTCATCTGCCAGGAGGGTGTTTCTGTCTTCCAGCTTCCGGATCACCGAGTTCAGTTCCGCAATTTTCAGTTGAAACCGCCTCACGTCTCGCTCATCCATGTGTTGATCCTAAAAGATACGAGTGCACGTTGAAGAGTAAAAGATACGAGTGCGCGCTGAAGAGGCAGGAGTGACTCGGAGTGCTCCAGGGACCACCTTCTCAGAGAACTCACAGCGTCTCGGCGAGCTAGCCCCCACCAGCACCAGACCCCACTGGGGTCCCAGGAGTCCAACCCCTCTGCCAGCAACTTGCAGAAAGACTTCCTGCCAAACCCACCCGTGGCTCCCACACACTCGGACCTGGTCTCTGGGGACCTCCGGGTTGGGGCCCCTGCGCACTCTGTGCCCTGAGTGCCCTGGCGAGGGTGCCAGCACTCCACAAACACGCACGAGATGCGGGGATAGTGAGTGAGTGAGTGAACGAATGGATGGACGGACGGATGCTGCTGCAGCTGCTGTGCCTGGGAAGCACCAAGCTGCCGCCCCAGATGCCCGTCTGTGGCTGAGCCCCTCCTCGTGTCCTGCCTCGGCTGGGCCCCTCTGTGCTCTTACGGCACAGCCTGCACTGACGTCTTCACTTCTTTTTTTTTTTTTCTTTTATCCTCACCTGAGAATATTTTGCCATTGATTTTTTTTTTTAGAGCAGCCGTTCTCAACCTGTGGGTTGCGACCCCTTTGGCGGTCGAATAACCCTTTCACAGGGGTCGCCTAAGACCATCCTGCATATCAGATATTTACATTACTCACCTTCCATTGAAAAGCCCACAAGGTCTGTGACGCACAGGAAGTGAGGCGGCTCCACCTCAGGGAGCTGAGAGCAGGCCACGCTGCAGGCCTCACAGAGCGTATGTTCTATTGCACAGAGACAGGCTGCATCCTTTCCCCACAGCCAGTGAGGCGTCTGTGCTAGAATGGTGAGTGCTGTGGGGGAGGGATCCACTGTGCGTGTGTGGGGGAGGGAAGATGGCTTTTTTTGTTTGTTGGTCCTCAACTGAGGATATTTTTCCATTGACTTTTAAGGAGAGTGGAGGGGGAGGGGAGAGACAGAGAGAGAGAGAAACATCCATGTAAGAGAGACGCATCGATTGCCCTGACTGGGGCCGGGGATCGAGCTTGCAACCGAGGTACATGCTCTTGACCAGGAACCAAACCCGCGACCCTTCGGTCCGTGGGCCAACGCTCTAACCACTGACCCAAACCGACTGGGCCTGATGTCTTCATTTCTTTCTTTTCACCTGGAGGCAGGTGAAGACCCCTGGAGGCACCCCTCGGCTCCCAGTGCCGCGCAGAGGGCGTGTCAGCAGGTTTGCAGGGGAAGGGCTGAGAGGGACGGAAGGATGGCAGGTGGGTGTAGGGAGGGAGGGAGGGAGGGAGGGGGAGGCAGGCAGGCAGGCAGGCTGGCTGGAGGAATGACCAGGGGAGGAAGGGTGTGGGGCAGCTCGAGGCCCGAGGCCTGCCCGAGCCTCACCTGGGCGCCCAGGAGCTCCGCCATGTCCCCGATGCCGGGCGGCAGCTCCCTCTTGGGGCTGCTGTGGTGCCGCTCGGCCTCTTTGACCTGAACCAGCTGCTCGTCCAGCGCCTCCTTCTGCAGCAGCAGCCGCTGGGTCTGGCCGGCCTGCACGCCCAGCTCCTTCTCCAGGGCCAGGATCACCCGGTCTTTCCCTTTGATCTCATCCATCTAGAGGAGGAGGAGGCAGCCGTCAGTCTGGGGCTGGTGCGGGGAGATCCGGCCCTGGCTGGCGGAGGCCCAGGGGAAGGTCGGCAGCTCCCTGGACACGGGACACAGAGAGGCCGCAGCCCACGGCCCGGCCCTGCTTCCTGGAGCTGAGGAGCAGAGCTACGGGTTCAAGGACCTGTCCCGTCAACCAGGCACTGACCTTGGAAATGCATCTGTGCCCATGTCTCGCGCACCTCGTGAAGTCAAATCCTGGCCCTCTAGCCCCTCCGCCCTCCGCAGGGAAGCTCCCAGGGTGGGCTGCTCTCCTATCTCCCACTGCTCCTCCGGCCGCTCCCATCTGGGCACAGTCCCCACCCGCCGCCAAAGGAGCTCCTGCCACGGTCGCCAATGCTCTCCCGGCCCCAGGCCCCTGGACAGCCTGCTGTCCTCCCAGCCTTCACCTCAGCAGGACAGTCACCCACCGCTGCCCCAGGACCCTCTCCCGCCCCTGTGACCACTTCTCAGCTCCTACTTCCTACTGACCCGCCATGCCCTGGGCATTTAGTCTGCGGGTCCCAGGCTGGGCCCCTTCCCAGGGCTGCCCTGTCCTCACCTGACAGCAGGCCCCTCACGGGCAGCTGCGGTCACCGTATCCCCAGCCCCGGCTCCCTCAGCGCCACACAATCACGGGAGCCACGGGCTGCCCGGTGTTTCCAAGGATCTCAACGTGTCCATGCGAATCCGGTGGAAGCCCCAGGCCATCCCCCCAGGCGTGCACAGTGTTCCCCAGAGGAAACCCAGCGGAAAGAAGCCGGGCCCCAGGCCATATACTTCAACCGTTTCTGGACACAAAGCCAACAGCTGGGACACTGCCCAGGAAGGGCGCTGTGCTGGGTGCTGTCCCCCCTACCCCCCAGTCCAGTTCCTTCCTCGGACCTGAGGCTGTGACTCATCGGAAACAGGGCTGCTGCAGGTATGTAAGATGTGTCGCTCTGGGGAGGGGGGGGCCCTGGTGACGGGTGTCCTATAAAAGGAGAGGGACACACAGACGCACAGCAAGAGGCTATGTGGAGACGGGGGCAGGGACCGGAGGGATGCGGCCACAGCCGGGAAAAGGAACAGCAAGGTGGCCAGTAACACAGACGCTGGAAGAGGCAGGAAGGACCCCTGGGCGTCAGAGGGCGCAGCCTGCTGGCACCTCGAGTTTGGGCATTGGGCCCCCAGCCCTGGGAGAGAATAATTGCTGTGGCCTGAGGCCACTGAGCTCTCGGCCATCGCTCAGGCAGCCCCAGCCTTGGCACAGGCAGAGTGAGAACTCTGAGCGGCCGGAATCGAACTCTTACTTCCAATCACACCCGTGGACTCACAGGCCGCCAGGACCGGGGATCCTGGTCGAGCGTCCGGCCCGCGCTGCCCGTCCTGCTCAGGTCCTGCCCCTCCTGCTGCGGAATCCTGGGCAGCCCGGCCACCTGACTGACTAGCCTCAGCCTCCGTAACATGGGGACCCTGAGAACATTCTAGAACCTACTCTGTCCAATTGCGGGGAGATATACTAGGAGATCAGCCGCAGAACAAATTTGGCACAGAGGCTGGTGTATTATAACTCGATCAACGTTGGCTGCCACCATTACTCTGTTAGCTGCCGGTTATCTTATTTAAACAGACCATTAAAATCGGATACAACGTGATTGAGATTATAGGGGGGAACTGGTACCCCCCAAATCCAGACCGGGAGCTTTTCACACAAAGCCTACTGCTCCGACAGCTCTGAGTCGCCTTTCTTTGGAGGAGAAACGGGTGCCCCCTTTCCCTCCACAGCCCCAACCTCCCCCACGACATGCCCACGGCGCCCCCTGGTGGCGTCCCACTAGCAGCGCCTGCTCTCTGGCCAAGGCCTCTGCATGGACTCCCAGGAGCACCTCCCCGGCTGTGGGGAGAAACTTAACCCCCGGGAACCAGGACAGTAAGAACTAGGTGAGAGGAGATCCTTGTTTTAAACACGCAGACATCCGCGCTTTCCTCAATCCAACAAGTACTGAGCTGGGAAACATCTGAGCAAACGGATGGAGGGAGGTAGCCAACCGCCTAACAAGTCAACACGGTGCTAGATCAGAGAATGACCAGCGCTGGGAGGAAGGACAAAGCAGGGGTCAGGGCCAGCTGGGTGGTGCTGCAAGGTCACAGGCAGAGACGGGCCGGGGACACGGAGGGCTCCCAGCCACCCCGGCGCTGGAGGAGGCGAGCAGCTGGGTGACCTACCAAGGATCACGCCTGGGAAGGGACCTGCCGGCAAAGCCTCCTTCCCACCCCAGGACGGCGGGGCCTCCGCTGGAAGCCCTGCCTGGAGCGCAGTGTCCTCAAAGCTGCGAGTTCACTGCCCGCTGGCGGGAAGGAGGGACAGGAAAGGGCAGGAAAGGGCATGGTGCCTGCGGGGCGGGGCGGTGCGGGGCGGGGCTCACGCACCAGCCTGCGGATGTCTCGCTCGCACTCGCGCTTGATGCGGTGCACCTCATCCTGGTGCTCCTGGTAGGCGGCGCGCAGGTCGGCCGCCTTGGCCTTGTCGGCCTGCACGCAGTGGCTGAGCGCCTCCTCCGCCTGCTTGCGCGCCGCCTTCTGCTCCAGCACCTCCTGCTGCAGCCGCAGGCGCTCACCATCGAAGCTCCTGCGCGCCTCCTCGCGCGCTTCAGCCAGCAGCGCTGTCTTCACCTTGTCGGCCGCGCCGTCGCGCAGCACGTTTAGCGTGGCCTGCAGCCGCTGCAGCTCGCCCTCCTTGATCTTGGCCGTGCGCGCCGCCTCCTGCTCGTGCTGGCGGATGAGCGACTCGCGCAGCGCCTGCAGCTCCTTGGTCTTCTCCTCGTGCAGCTTGGCCCTGAGCGCCGAGAGGTAGGCCGTGTGCCGCCGCTGCTCCTGCTCGCGCTCCAGCTTGGCCTCCTGCAGCCGCTCACGCAGTTTGCCCACCTGCAGCGGAGAGAGTGGGTCAGGGGCAGGGTCAAGGGCAGGGGCAGGGCTGAGGAGCCAGCCAGGCCCGTGGAAAACCTCCCCACATACCTTTGTGCCAGCCGTCCCTGAGACCCTCCCGGGTCCCCACATCCAATTCCCCCACAGCCACGCCCTTGGTTCTGACCCTGATCAGCCCCACCCAGACTCCTTCCTGCTCTTTCCCCAGCTGTTCCCTAGAAACAGCTGCAGACGCTGGAGAGGAGCGAGAAACCTTCCATTCAGAGATTTATAAGGAAGGACCATTTATCAGTCATGAACCTTGCCCAGCTGGCAGACATCCTCTCTCACTAACGCTGAACAAATCTTAAACCAGAAAGAAATTTGCAGGGCCCATGACTGGGCCTGAGCTAGAGAAGACAGGCAGGTGGGTAGGGAGG